ATGTAAAGGATTGCAAGCGACACGCAGCCCAGAGCTGGGAGACAAATGTAAAGGATTGCAGGGCAGAGCAGCTGGGAGACAAATGTGAAGGGTTGCAAGTGAGAGGGGAGAGAGGAGGCACATGTAAAGGAAAGAAGGAAGACAAGGCGGACACAATGACCAACAAGAAGGGGGACAACAAGGGAGACAAGAAGGGAGACGAAAAGAAACAGAAGGGAGACAAAACGGACACAGTGCCCAACAAGAAGGGAGAAAAGACCGGAGACAAAGGGAGCCAGAAGGGAGACATGCGGACACAATGACCAACAAGAAGGGGGACACGGTGACCAACAAGAAGGGACCAAGGGACACAAGCCGGACGGAAGGCGGACACGCAGTCCGGCAGCAAGGCGGACACTCTTAGAAAGCATTTAGAACCCCTAACAGTAACCTGTTTGCGGACGTACAGAAATCACCTGGGAGACAAATGAATAGAAATGCTGGAAAGGGGGAAAGGGCGGATGCCAGCAGTGCAGGCACCGAACCTGGAAAACCAAAGTAAACAAACCACACATGTGAAACAAATGAATAGAAATGCTGCATGGCCAGTGGAAAAGGGCGGACACCAGCAGTGCAGGCACCGAACCTGGGACACAAAAGTAAAGAAGTCACTTTAAAGACAAACGAATTGAAATGCTGCATGGCCAGCGGAAATGGGCGGACACCAGCAGTGACAGAAAGGGCGGACACATCTTAAGAAAGAATTGAGAAACTCTACGTGACGGCAAACTGTTTGGGGAATGAATAGAAATGTTGCATCGCTAGCAGAAAAGGGCGGACACCAGCAGCGACACAAAGGGCGGACACATCTTAAGAAAGAAGTGAGAACCCCTAACAGTAAACTGTTTGGGGAACTAAAAACATATTCGTTTGAGTTTCTACTAGCGAGGGCCTCAAGAAAATGAAACAAATATCTCATTCGAGCGCGACCGCCACAGAATCTTGGATCATCAAAACACAGAACAAAACACAATATGTTTCTAGTCCATCGCTACTGGGTTGTAGGTTGGAGGCCATCGCTATTAGTAACAATACACAATATGATTTCCGAGTCAGCATCATATCCAGCTAGTCGCAGAACTTTGGCCTTACGTACAACTTCCTTGAGGGGCTTGGAGGAGGCTACCTCACCTCCTCCCAACATGAAGTTCACAAGTCCCAATGACCAAACGGTTGTCGCGTTGAACAGCGGCATCGCTACTAGTAGTAAGGCACCTTGCTACTAGTAGCTTCTTGCTCCTAGTAGTAATGCCCTTGTCGTTTGAGAACCAAAGCTCGAATCAGCTCACAGCTCCACAAAAGCCCACCACAGCCGTACCGTGCAGAGGCATGTGCTCTTAGAGTTTCTTGAAACCGCACGTGGTCCACCCACACTACAAACCATATCCTGTGAACGAGGTGACATGACCCAAAAGTGTAACAAGTTTCCAGAATCGGCACGAAACTCTGAGGTTCCTCCAAGCAACCTGTAAGGACATGGTACTGCTTGAAGGTCGTGGCCTCTGTCGTTGTGGACCCTGGCCAGGCCAAATGATACCGCCTTGCAGCCCTGTCAAAATCAATCTTTTCAGGTGGTGATGGCACCAAGTGACACAAAGCCTGACCAGCTGCAAAGGTGAGCCCGTAGCCCAAGTTTAGAATGTTTATCCAGGGACTGATCCTTAGAAAAGCAAAGTGCCTGTCACTCTGCTGAATCACGGCTCCAGCTTCAGATGCATCTCCTTGTTTCTTCCACACCCAAAGAAGCTGCAAGAATTCAGTTGCCACAATCCCAGGTACACAGGGCAATGGTAGTCCGGTTGTTGCGTAGCCCGTTGCTCGAGATGGTTCATGTACAACTCCTGCAGTTCCAGTGTGTTCGTTCACAAGCTGTTCCAGCAACTTCAAGTGTTCCTGTTCGAGCATGTCATGTTTTTTTTCTCCAGGTGCTCTAGTTGATGTCGCAGTTGCAAGGAGATCAAGTAGAAGCGCTTTCATTCGAGATTGCGAGGCAGCCCGAACACTGGGATCGGAGGGGCAGCCCAAGAGTGAAAAACTGGCTGCTTGCCAGAGTGAGGCGGCATAAAGGGCCAGGACGAAAAGGACGTAAGGCGTCATCACCTTGCCAAACCTCAAACTGAGTAAAGAAGAATCAGGCTGAATGAAATGAGTAGGATGGTCTGATTGAAGTCATCTGCCGAGGATCCCTTCAAGCGTGAAATACTCTCGGCGAGCGGTCTATAAAGGTGGTCTGTTGCGGTCTGTGGTGTCTTTCCTTCTCGCCATGGGAAAAAAAGAAGCATGAAAAGTTTTGAGGCTTCTTGTTACAAGTAGTAAGGCCAGGAGCTACTAGTAGCGTCCTTGCTCCTCGTAGCGATGCCAGGAGCTACTAATAGCTTCTTGTTACTAGTCTAAAAAAAGAAACACACCAAAGTTCTTTTTGAAACAAGAGTTCTTTGGAAAGAACGTAATGCGGATCCTGAAGTTTCAAAAAACTCTCTACACAACAAAGGTTGAGCATGGTTGAGCCGTGATAAACAAAGACCCAGCTAAAACCAAATTGCTCTTTGATCATTTGCGCCAAAGCGGTTGAGCCAGAGTCGAGGTGGCCAAACACTCTCAGCACTTCATGAACTCGCTGGCTTCAACAACTTCCGCTGTGCCTGTTGAGCCATCTGCATGTACTGTCCAGACCTGCACATTGGTTGCACGCTTTCAGTTTGCACATCCAATTCCTAGATCTTTTCACAAAACCAGTTTGCTTTGGTATTCCCCGAGCCGTCTTCATCTTGGCTTTCTTAGCGACAAAACCAAACACTTGCTGGAACATTGACTTGGCATAGTCCCAATTCAAGCCAACGAACATTTGACCTTTCACTGTTCAAGCCTGCGTCTTGAACGATAGAGGTCCTGCAAACAATGAAGCGTAAATGAAGAAAGCAAATCTGGAGTGTCGTTGAAATGCTTTTCTCTATGTCACATCAATTGAAATCATTTCTGAAAAAAGTTACTAAGTTTGGAATCCAGCCATTATCATTGCTTGCAGTCTTCCTTGGATTTGCTGCTGCACCTCCACTCTCCGGGAGGTCCTTAAGCGAGCTGAAAAAAAACGACAAAATGCAATTGCACGAGTGAACTGGGAGTCTAAAGAGTGAAGCAATCTTCTTCGGCTTCTTCGGCTTGGCAAATTCACTTCGTTTCTTTCGTTCACACCATTCAATTTCACGCCTGCACCTGTGTCCGAACTGTGTGAATCATCATGCCTGGCCGAGCATGCAACTCTCGCATGAAGCCGTTCAATAGCAAAGGGCTTGATAGGAAAGACTCGAGGTGATTCTGTTCGATTTGTGCTTTTCACGTACACTATTCTATTTTTTTTTCTCATGGTAGCTCTTCATTTTGGGGGGTAACTCGAAGCAGGCGCTTGACCGCTCTTTAAGCTGAGAATCGTTTCCAGAGAGCCGAAACACTCTCAAGAGTTCGTCCAAGAAAGCTTCTTGTTTCTACTAGTAAGGCACTTGTTACTAGTAGCTTCTTTGCTACTAGTAGTTTGTTCCTAGCAGTAAGGCCAGGAGCCCCTAGTAGCGTCCTTGCTCCTAGTAGTAAGGCCAGGAGCCCCTAGTAGCTTGTTGTTACTAGTAGTACGGCCAGGAGCCCCTAGTAGCGTCCCTGCTCCTAGTAGCGTGGCACTTGTTACTACTCTGAAAAATGATCGCTTCGGAAAACGCCACAAAGTGAAGAGATCAGCCTGGCGCTACGACCATTGCGGCTTTCAACATCAGCATCTGCATAGGCGGTTGAACATGGTGAATGGTGGCTACTCTCTGTGGCTCACTGGACAGGATCTGCATTGTGGAATTGCAAAAACTCTACGATCGACACGCAAACTGCAGAGATGTGAGAACTTCAAACGGACTGCAAGAACTCCTGCAACTTTGGTACGCCGCGGCTTTGCGGTTTCACAAGCCTGGACTGCATGTCTTCACATTTGCATCAGGCGCTTTCTCCCGAAGTAAGCAACTTGATAGAAACCAAGCAAAACACCTGAAACAAGAGAGCAGACTTGAAATAAACAAAAAATGACAAGACCCCGGCTCCTGTGCAGATCACAAATCACATCGAAACTACCTAGGGACCTAGAAGGGTAAAAGTAAAAACTAAAAGGTCTCAAGGTCCCAAGAGCAATCAATGTTTTTCTCCTAGGAATGGCCTTCAACCTGATAGCAGTTCCTCCTTTCGGATGTGTTTAATAGAAAAAGTCAAACCACTTAGAAATCTCAATACATTCGGCCTGACAAGGAGAGCTTTGCCTGCAGCCGTGGACAGCTCTCGCAGTGACTCCGAAGTGATATCCAATTCCATTGCTTGCGTTGTTCTTGATCGATTTCCACCGACGTGCCTCTCTGACCATGCTGGAGGGCTTCTCGGATCTTCTCGACCTCCATGGCAGTCGCCGATTGAAAGTTTGTTTGGTTTGAATCGTCATTGAGAAAGTAACGCTTATCTGCAACCCCAAATGACAGCAACGCGGAATGGCACAACACATTGCAAATTGATCAGCTGCAGCAGGCGCAGCCAGCAGAACCCATGAAACAGTGAAAGCTGCTTTGTCAAATAAATAAAGGAGAACTCGCTATGCATTCGTGCTTCAAAGAACAAGAGACCTTTCAGCTTCGCGAAAACGCAAAAGCCCAAATAGGAAGAAGGCACTGGTTGTTTCACCACGGTCATCGTGCAAAGTCTGAAGTCTTTGCTCCGTTCGTAGCGTCCGATCGCTCCTAGTAGTAAGGCCAGGAGCCCCTAGTAGCGTCCTTGCTCCTAGGAGCGATGCCCTTTGCTCCTAGTAGCGATGCCCTTGTTCCTAGTAGTCAGGGAAATGCACAAAGGCGCATGATTTGAATTTGAAGACACCAATGATTGGGATGTGCCTGGCTTCCGCCTCACTCTTCGTCTTCTCCTCAGATGTGTTCAACCCACAGCTTCAATATTCTGGGAGCCTTCGCATTCTGCTAAACTGCACTCTTTTGTTTCATCCGGCGCATGCTTAAACCGCATCCTAGTTTGACAAAACTGACGTGAAAGGGGGTGCACGTTGAATGAGACATGGAGCCACTACCAGACAGTGAGGAAAGGATTGTTTGGCTTGTCTAGGAGGAAACCACATTTTCGCTCTTGAGGATAAGTCTAGCCTATGGAAATGATCTGCGACAAGTGATCGAGGCACCAAAAACTACATCATTTGGGAGCGTGGATGTTGTCAAGCAACGTGAATACACGCATTCTGCTCTTGGGTGTCCCAAGACTGACACAAAGCCAACCAGGAGGTGGGCGCGGAGGTTCTGAGTTTGTTCAATCCAGCACCCCTGACAAGGGAAGTAGCAAGAATGAAGGTCAAATGGCCAAACACATGGTAGGGTTCGGCCGTGAGTTCTTGTCGCTGCTGAAAAAGGTAGTGACTGCAAGGCTCCAACGTCTGTTTGTATTGGTGAGGTGCCAGGTTCTCGTGAACCGGTGGCGCGGCAAGGTGCAAACACTGGTACAGAATAGTAACGATAAAAGGAGCACTTTGCACTGCTCATGGGATGGTGCTATCAGCTATGAAGTGGTGGGTTTTTCTGAAGGATTCTGACAGTGAAATCCGCTGCGATGTCGAGCGAGTTAAGTGTTTTGGAAAAACAATGAAGCAAGTCACAAGTCGTTGGGTTTGTTGGTGAAATGCTGCTACTCTTTTGCCCACTGCTGGTGATGTGATGACTTTATGTGGCTTTTACTGTGATATTTGTAGTTTCTGATCAAGAAAGGATGCTTTATGCTTTGCACGCAGTATGTTGTGCATTTCAACAGCCGACGTGTGTGAGCAATGTGCGTCAGCTCGTTCCCACCCAATCTGATATGATTGGAGGCATCACACCAGGGGTGATCTCGGGTCGACCTTTTGACTTGAAGCACTGAAGCCTTTGCTCACTTTGAAATGCGAAAGCTTGCTAAACTAGCTTTAGTTCCAACACTGTTCAAAAGGCTTTAACCTCGGATCGATGAGGCCGGAATCACAATGCTACAACGTGAGGGGATAGTACATGGAAAAGAAAAGAACCGCTCGCTCAACTTAAACATCAAGGCTATGGAGAGTCTAAAAGCTTGTGCACCTCGCACATGTCAACAGAATCGTCCTCGTCTGTAGAACAATCATCAAAATCAAAGGATTGACATTCCAGTTGTAACAGTCACTAGTAACAAGGTGCATCGCAACTAGTAGCAAGAAGCTACTAGTTGCGATGCACCTTGTTACTAGTAGCGATGCACCTGCTGTCAAGTTCGGGTTCCTGAGATTTGCTGGAAGTAGTGAGGCTGATCGTAAGCGCAATGCGTTCCACATGTTTGCCAGCTTCCACCTCCTCTGTGAACGACATTTAATACTCCCCATGCTTTCAATGTCCAACAGGCGATGGAACAAGGAGAGCGAGAAGAAGCCAAACAAAAGATTTATATATACTTGTTCCTAGTAGCGTGGCACTTGTTACTACTAGTAAGGCACCTGTTACTACTAGCGTGGCACTTGTTCCTAGTAATATATTTCAACCCACCTTCAGGTCCAGATTGCAATGGAAAGTTTTTGGGCGAGAATCTTGAATTGGTTTGTCCATGTCCACACTTTGTTCCCAAAAATGGCACGAGGCAAGGAAAGGTCGAGAAAAGCGGTGGAGTCCCCAGCGATCAAACAAAAAAGCTACTGGTAGCAAGGACGCTGCTAGTAGGAACAAAAAGCTACTAGGAACAAGGGCATCGCTACTAGTAACAAGAAGTTCAAACAAAAAAGAGCGCCCCACCGAATCCAAAAGCACTTAGAACCTGATTCTCCTTCAAGTACTGGCACCTTCTCTTGCTTCCTTTAACCACGTTCTGAGCTCCGAACTTTTCTGAGGCCTCCAAATCTTTGGGAGGTCCTTTCAGCTCAAAAGAACCCCCACAGAATACATCCAAAAATGTCTGAGAGAAGTGCTCTCTGGAGTGTAACGTCTAGCTGAAGGCGACGGTGTTCTCCTGAGAAGTGTGGCTCATCAGTTGACGGTTCTGAGAACTTGTTTACGGTTCTTTTTTACAGCCCGCTCCCCCCTCCC